GGGGGTGCTAGCAAAATGTATATGACATGCCCCAGTTGGCAGGAGGGAACGAGAGAAAGATAGAGTGGGAAATAGGTGGGGACAAAGAAATACAGAGACAAACAAAGAAAAAGAGAAGGTGAGCGGTGCACAGAGGAGAGAGAGAGAGAGAGGCTGCTCGATTGAAATTATGACATTGTAACTTGTTCTTTTCTTCGGATTGTGATTCCTCCAATTCCAAAACGGAGGAAAAACAATCGTTCATGGAAACGACATCCGCAATCTTCAATTAGATCTAGGTTAGCCGCGAAACTAGATGAAAGATTCATGTCTGTCTCCCTAGATCTAGACCTAGACCATAGATCTAGAAGAACCTAGGTCTACCCTGAGCCAAGAGGGCGCTGAAACTCTCCGAAATCACAAAAGAGTTCCCCTACCGGGTCTGTATACTTTGTGACTTTGTTCCCGGTTACCGGGTCTGTATACACTCCCTACTAATAATTCTGTTACTAATGAACTAATGCTCAGAGTGCCAGATTTTTTTCTGTCTGTTTTTGGACTAGATCTAGTGTGCGTTTTTTCTTTGACACTTGTACACATGTGGATAGTCTTGCCAATGTAGTAATTGTAAGGCATCTGACTTTATATGTTCCCTTTTGTTGCCTTTCTTACTTCTTGAAACTCAAATCTGATGTTTTGTTTTTGTATTTTTCAGATCCTGTATCCTTCATATCAGCCGATCCCAGCTTTTACTACGAGAATAGCAAATCCACTTGTTGCCAAGATTTTTTAAAGACGTTATGAAAAAAGAGATTGAATATGCTGTGGACAATTTCCACAGAATTGCTTTTGGAACAAAGAAAAATGGGAACAAACACATCTCGGAGTCCAAGTTGGCCTCTTTCATCACAATCTTGACAGATTTACTGTTCAAGAGATATGAGAACAACTGGTATCCCGAAAATCCCGACCGGGGCAGTGGATTTCGATGTATTCGTGTGAACACCCAGAGCATTGACCCGACGATCAAGGAGAGTATGAAACGAGCGAGCATTGTGTTACCTGGGGAGTTGCTGGCCACAGAAGTCACTATCTGGGTCGATCCTGGAGTTGTTTCTGTTCGCATTGGAGAAGACGGGAGTATTGGGTCTGAAATTGTGGACGAGGAAGTGTATAACATGAAGAAGCCACAGTCGTGCGACTCCCCCATCAAACGGTCAGGGTCTGTGGATGATGAGGAGTTTTCGTCCCGCAGCTCTTCTCCAGACTCCAGGTCATCGGTGCGGTCTGAGTCTGCCAGCCCGCCGTTGCAACCATTTTCTACAACTCCCAGATTTGTTTCCCCGTCCCCCGTGCACCCAGTGATGGAGTACAACCCCTACAGCCCACCATCCCGAGTCTCGTACCCCCAAAGGTACAGACAGAACCCCTCCCCTCCTTCCAGCCACTCATCGTCCCCACACTCCCTCAAGAACACATTGTCATCGCCCGCCCGTGCTTTCCACTCAATGGCAGCGGCCACTCAGGCCAGATCTCCACTCAGCTCCCGAGGCTCACCCATATCTTTCAGTTCTCACGGAGACTTTGGCCAAGCAGGCCAAAGTCACATTCCAGGCTCTACTCACCAGCGCACGATGACGTACACCCGTCCACGGGCGATCTTCCCCGCTACCTCTGAGAGCAACTCTCACATGGAGGGACTTGGCAAGATTGGTTTCAACCCGTATTCCCTGCCATTTGGCTATGATCGGCATATGCCAACTGCCAATTTTTATGACATTCCAGCAATGGCGTAGTAACAGTATTTTGCCTTGTCTTGGATGTTAGTTATTTTCGTCTCCTTTTCTGTCGTGTTGCAATATAATCTTGGCTGTATTTTCTGTTGGGCAATGGGGAAATGTTGTTTCGGGGCTCTTCGGATCATTTTCCGTACAAAATGTGGAAATTCAATCATTTCCACTCACCTGTTTGCTGCAAGTGCCACCCGACACCTTTTTGAAACTCCTCAAATCTGGACTTTCGAAAAGTGGTCCCGGACGGTTGTTTTTAGGAATTTTAAGATATGATATTGTGATAAGTGCTTCTTTTACTTTTTTTGTCTTGTGTGTTTCTTGAATTGCAAATAGATACATTTTAAGTTCACCTGGACGAAAGATCAGTTTTGAACAGTTTGTAAGCTCATGAGCAGATTTTATGAAATTTTTTTGCAATGTCAGATGGCTCATGTTGATATCTTTTGACCAGAATCAGTAGTGAAGAAGTTAACATCACAAGAGTGTTCGACACATTGGATTTTAATATCTTATAGGTGCTTATCCAGTTTCCCCAAAAGCCCGGTATATGGGATTTTCTTTTTTTCTAGATCATGTTGTATATGTATCATTTCTTTCTTCTGTGGAGTTGTATGCCACCCAGTGCTTCAGTCTCCTAATCGTAGTACTAGAGTGTACTTTATTTCATAAACCTTTCGCATTGTCTCATGTATCTTGTTACTTCACATCTGAGTCAAATTATGATTTTCGACAAGTTTAAGTCAAGACTGATGCTTAAAATCAAAGGTCTTCATCCCTTCCCCTTCTACACTTGTTTGTATGAGTGTCTTACTCTTGCACTCTACAGACATCGGAGAGTGCATTATTTGTAACCATGTATCTTTGCACAATTTCCATAGTTGATTACGCAATGCTTTATGTGTGTACCGCATACTCGAAGTGAATTTTGTCTCAAATATGTTTGTTGAAGCAGATTCAAAGGAGTATTGATCTCAGGTTCAAATGGCAGTTTGCAGGACAAGTCATGACTGATTTCTTCATTGTCATTCACCGTGACTTGACGTTGTGATTTTAACTTTCATTTTTCGGGCAGAAATGGTCATTTTTGAGCTTTCACTTGACATTTCGCCCTCCATCCATGGGCCTAGTGCTTCTTGTAGTGCTGTGCACTGTAGTGTAGTTATTGTAACTTGCATGTTCAACCCGAATCCTGTGATACACTCAATCCATTGGCCCTTGATATTAACATTGCTTCATCATCAATAGCAAAAGCCCAGCCTCCTATTTCTCTTTCGCATGATAATTTGTCATCTTGTCATCTTCACCATCATATTTTCATCAGAGTGCCATGTTCATCAAACCAAATACATCCGTTCATGCACACTAGGAGTGATAGGTTTTGTTTCAATTGTATGCTTAGTCTCAGTTTGCAATCTAAAAATGTAATGTACGAGATGATAGAAATATGTGGAACAGTCAATCCTAGTACTAGTCATTTCTGTAGCCTTTCAAATCTCCCAAGAGTATTATTAATTAATAATTGTTTGAGTTTTCACTTTCAGTTAATTTCCATCACCGTATCATCTGCTACTCCGGATTTGCTACTTATTTGATGAAAGTGAGTTTTGATCGCGTTTTATTTTGGGAAAAGGGGGAATGGTGGGAGAGATCATTGTAACAAGTTGGCCTGTTTTTATTTAATGTTGTATTTGTAAATGTGCAAGAAGTCATGTTCGTACTCGACTGTATTTAAAAAAATGTTAGTTGTTGTGCTCGAGGTTCAGTGTTTATTACATGTTAGCACAATTTTCCACTCCTTGTTTTGTTATTGGCCATAGCAGACAGGTGCCATGAGTAAAGAAGTGTCCCAGACTGTGAGCAGTTATGGCTACGGCCGTGAAGTACATCAGGTGGCTGGAGAAATGTGCAAACGTTTGTCTTTGTTTTGCATTTTTTATCATTTGTGATCCCTCTAATAGGTTTATATGTTCTTTTTTTATGTTGTTCATTCATTGTGGTACAGATTTTAACCCTTGACGCCCTGCCCCACTGCCAACCACTCCTCCCCTAACATCCTGTACAGCGGGCCTACTTTTTCATCGCCATCATCTTCATATACGCCAGTTGAATTAATGTTTATAGTTTTATCATTTAATTTCTACGCCAACAATTGCCATAACCCTTCTATATAAACAAAATACCTTCCATCACTAATTTTGAATAAAAGTAGGCCCATTAAACAAGCTGAGGTGGTTTATCATATTTTGGTGCATACTGGAGGATTCTTTCATCATGGTTGAAGTTATTGGGCTGGAAATATTAAAACTTTTTTTTTTCTTTTGTCGGCCGTTCACAAAGAGGATATGGGTCTAAAGCTATAAAACTGGTACAATTCGTCCACATGTAAGTGAATTTGAAAACTGTGAGATCATGAAGTGACTACAAATTTTAATTTTTTACCTGAAGGCAAAATATCTTAATTTTATCACCTGGTTTGTTCAAGGTGTTACGGGTTAAAATAACATTGTCGTAATTTCTTTCCTTTTAATTCTTGTTGATTTAAGAGTAGAATTACTCTTTTTATCCAGTCTCAATGAGTGTTAATTTTTGTGCCTCGCCTTTGCGTTTGAACTTACTTGTTATGTCATCAAGGGAGGTGTGTAAGACTGTGACTCCCATTTTATCATTTTTAGACTCCCATTTTATGTCTTCATCCTTCTCTTGCAGCTGAATTTTCCCCAATCTTCACATTGGTTGAACAGTCATATTGATTTGTAGTTTTCTTTTCCCTGTTTTCCATTAAAAGCGTATTATGACAGAAAGATAAATTTAGGTAGCTACCAGTGCCCACGAAGCATGATTTTTAAAAAAAACCCATCCCATCACTAATAATTACGTTCTGGCACTGATCCGTGAAGTTCTGAAAGACCATGTAGTGTAGACTTTCATAAATATGTTTCGTATTAAGTATAAAAATATTCCTTTTTGTTAGATTACTAGAATAAAAACAATTTTTTCGACTATATTATAGATAGTTTAATTAAATTCCACCTTCACTGCTATTTCCTTTCCAGCGTTTCAGTGCCTGTATAGATTTACACTTGTTTGTCTGATTGGTCACATTGTATGTTGCACTTAATACCCCACTGTTGGGTTAACTGGGAGTGTATGACACTGACTTTTTGAGGCTTTATCGTATTGACAAAACTGTGGTTTCAAACTACATGGTGCTTATTCTGACCCTGATCTGAAGTCCTTTGTACAGTAAGAGGTTCTTTGTAATTACTGGTCTGTGTAGAGTTGTTATTATGCATTACAGCAATCAGATGTAGACTGCTAGACTAGAAGTATTAAACACATATTGTGTTAGGAAAATTTTTAGAAAGCGTAACGAATTTGCATTTGTGTATGATTGTGTAAGTTACTGTCGTTGTTGTTGAAGGCAAACCTAAGACCAGAAGTTTTACATGCCTTTTGCCTTTTTCCATATCTTTCGACTTTCGGTAATGTGTTTTCAAACAAAGGCAAGTAAATCTTAGCAAATAGATGGAAAAAGTACTGTTAAAGTTAAAGCCACAGATTCACTTTGATTGGTCTGCATCTTTTTTTTCCCCCCAATATATTTAAAAGAATTTTCATTTATGTAGATCCAACACAATCATAGTTGAACTCAAGATTTCCTTTCTTTTTTTCTTGGTGATTTTCCCACCATGTTTTTTCCTCCTCCTTTTATTCATTTTATCCATTGTTTTTTTTTTTTTTTTTTAAATTTTTCTCTCATTTTTAGACTCCATATCCCAGCTTTGGATTGGTGTCAAAGCTTTTGATGCAGAACATTAGTTTTAGACACCACCAAAGAGATTTTAGAATCATGTTACATGTTTTTTCCGTGGCAGCATACACGAAGGAGAACTTCACGTCATGCATGGCGAGTGAGAGAAACTGTCCATGTAATGTCTTTCAACTTGTATAATACACAATTAAAAATTCAACACTCAGGAGAGCAGCATTATGGCCCTGAATTTTATCGATGCTGACGATTTATCATGGGTGGTCGTGGACACCCCTTGTTTTGTTCTGCTTTTGATTGATACGGTGCATTCTCAGGTGTGGAGATCGTGTACCAGAGCCTGTTTATGAGTATATGTGAGATCTGGCTATGGCTGAGCTGGTGACTTTTGTTGCCGGGATGTTACAATGCATTCCTCCTTTTGATACACGTGTTACTGTTGAAATGTCACCAAAGCGTTTGAGGTGAAACTGTTCATGACTGGGGCATGCAATTTTTCTTTTCCACTCGGTTGCAATATTATCATGTATAGTTTGTGAAGCTGTGTTCTAACAAATGTATTGTTACAAAATTCATTGAGAGTGCTATTGAATAATTAACTATGGAGCATACAAAATGTAAAAAAATGAATTAAGTAAGGATGTTTGTCCTTATTGTAAATTGTTTTACCCTACTGAAAAAAATAGAAATAAAAAATAATGTGTACAGAACTATGTTCAATAACGTGACTGATGATGAAGTATGAATAAAGTTGCTTTAGTTCAAAGTATAAAAAAAAATGTTTCATGTTTATTTATTGTTTGAATATTGTCATTCTTTTCTTTTCATTAGTGGGTTATTGGAGGGACATGCTCTGCTGGCATGTCCTAGATCTACTTCTGTTTTATCCATCTGTTGCTTCTGTCTATCATCAATCTTGCTTCTTCCCTGCACCAAATGACAGTACTTATGATGTCGATGTACTTCTCTTTACTCAAAAACTTTCGTGCACTGGAAAATCATTATCAAAATCTTTTCTTTCACTCTCATGGTCTGAAGATTAAAGTGTCCAGCAAGATTTGAAGGAGAAAATCACAGTGAAGTATATGGCTTCCATCATTGGGAAAAGATGTAAAATTACCTGAGACCTTCGAAGGAGAAACAGAGAGACATGAAGAAAAAAAAATGTTAACGGCTCCTGAAAAAAATCAAAAGTACATGATTTGTAATATATAGGGATAGGTCTGTACTTCTGTATGGTCATGGCAGACTGATATTTGGGTGGTTGACCCAGGTTCAAATTCCCAACAAGGCTTTCTTGATTTTGGTTTGTTTTACAAGTTCTCTTGACTCTCCGTCCATTTGGCTTGGTCCTCCTGCTCCTCCTATGGGGGGAGAGGTCCACTTTTAAAACCTCCGCTTCGAGCCCCCATCCCATAAATGACTTAGCAGTGTTTAAGGGGGTTAAACCCATACCATACAGAGAGGTGGGACGGACGAATTGATGTCTTTCCTAGATTCTGACTGGTTGAACAGGTTAGCGGTTACACACTGTGAAGGGGAAAAGAAGCTTCTGAAACGAATTGGACCACAATAAATTGACCCTTAATCTCTCAGTGTCTTGCCAACAGGAGGCTGGCGCAGTGTCTTCTAACTTTGCCCAAACTCACTGAAATAGTAACTCGCGTCAGAGTGCAAAGCAACAATGTGTTTTCGATCCAAGCTGTTGTTTACGTGAGGCGCGGTACAGTTCTATGACGTCAGACGCCACACCGCCCACCATCTCTAGCCCGACCCAGAAGCCATTGTGTCGGAGAAATAAATCGATAAACCAGAATGATTTGCGTACAAACATTCCCGGAGTTTAAGAGGGAACAGGCTAGCAGTGTTTGTTTTTTTCCACCCTGGGTTATAAAGTTAATTCGTTGTTGTTGCTGGTTTTTTGTTTGTTCGTTTTTGTTTTGTTTACAGCGTTAACGATGAAAAGAAAGTTGTTTGCAAAAGCAACAGAAGTTGGTGACCGAGGCTGAGCTGAGTTGGGGTTTTTTTTAAGTTATCATCTCTTAAACAAACCATTCTTTTTCTTTCTATCTCCTTTTTTCTGAATAATAAGCATTATGTGCTTTCTAGCCGAATGTGTCGTACTATCCCTCATGTTTTTATTTAACAATTCTCCACACTGTATTTTAGTAGGCCTACGTACTGGGTTTGATCTAACGGACATGTTATTACCTGACACCTGATGTACACATTTGCCCGTATTTCATTTATAACTTTTAGTATCTCTCTAATCCATAGTCACTACGACTCACGAGCGTCTCCCCCCTGCCTCTCTGCTCTTTCCCCCCAAATTATAATTTCTACCTCATCCTTACCCCTGTACCACATCCACCTCTACCTTAACAACAACAGTACCACTCCTATGGTGGTCTATTTATTGGCCCGCAAGTCATATTTTTTAAATTTATCACGGCTCCATAGTCCATATATAGTACATTACAGCGGAGTCCTTATTTCATCGCGTGTTTCAGATTACATGTATGATTACTCTACTGCTGTGATTTCTCTCTCTCTCTCTCTGGTCTCTGTCTCTGTCTCTCTCTCTCTCTCTCTCTCTCTCTCTCT